TCACATAAAAAAAAACTCTATCTAACTTAAAATTCTTATTTTGTGCTTTTTTTTTCATTATTTTTAGTTGTCGAACTTTTTAAAGAAATATTCATGTAGTATTTAATAAATCTTGTTTATTGTGATGTAAAAGTAAAAAAATCGTAATTATTTTATTAATATTAACAAATTATTATATTTTATATAGAGCAAATAAAAAATATAATATAAGTATTTCTCAGAATAATTAAAGAGTGGACCACAGGAATTTATAGGATACATACTATTAACCATAATAATGTTCGAAGAAATTAATAGTGATCATATATATATATATATATATCCTATCCGATTCCATGGATTTTAATCAACTGTTCATTTCTTGAGAAACTTTATAACAGCACAAATGATTTCAGCAATAATATCTATCTCCAACTTAAATTCTTGTTATAAAATCCACTATTCTATTATATGTAACACTTTGAAGTATAATCCTCCTACTAATTAAATTCTTATAAATAGCATAATCACTTATAAGTATATATACATATATTTATAGTTGTTTATAAGAAATTATAACTTAATAAAAATAATATATATATATATATATATATATATATATATATATATATATATATATATAATTCTAAAAATTAAGAGATTTCTATAATACAGGAGTTGCATATCTAAGTTATAACTATTCACTATTTCTCAACAATCTCTTCATTACTCATCTCTTCTACTATCATAAATTTACCTATAATATATGATAATTGTAAATTGATAGAACATTACCACATAAACAAAATGGTAAGCTGGCCAAAATTTAACAAGTTATATTAATACAAAAATTTAAAATATTAATCATATTAAAATAAAAATTCATAAATTTACAATTATTTTTAAATATAATATCAAACGAAATTCAGGAAATCATCACCATCACCATAAAAACATTAGTGTTTTCTTTTTTCTTCATATCACATATTCACATATAAAATAAAACAGTAACCTAACAGTTACATGAAAAAAAAAATATATTTTGAATTAACTTTAACTAATTATATTTCATTTTTTATTAATTTTAATCATAAGGAAAAATATATAATTTTATCACTTAACTTATTAAAACATTTTTTATATTTCTTGTATCTGTTAAATTATTCACAAAATTTTATAAAGTTTATCTTTAAATATTTAATTTCATTTTAAAATTCCTTAAAAGAACAACATTCTGTTACTATTTTACCTCATCAATATATCCATAATATATTTCTTATAAAACAAAAAAAACAATTTTATTATTCTTGCAAAAGTTAAAATATCATAAAGTTTTGAAGATAAAAAATATAGATTAAACAGCCTTAACAAATCAAGTTATATCACCGAATCAAATCAATATATTGTAAAGTAAAGTGAGAAATCACGATCCAAGAATTACAAAATGTGATAAATGCATTGATATAAAACTAATATGAATTATTACCACTTGACCTTAATTAAATTATTACAAAGAAACGATATAATGAATACCAATACTATATGAGATAGAAAAGAAGGATATGCTCAATATCTTCAAATTTAAAAAATGTAATAAATTGATGATAAATTAGACTTTAGATTATAGGTCAATTCGTGGATTCAGTCAATTAATCACTTTTATGTTATATTATTTAAAAAATACATATATACAATAATATTATATTCACAAATTAAATTTAAATTATTAATTACGACAAAAAATTTAACAAGTAAAAATAATAATTATTTTAATTTATTAGTTAAGCATATTAATTAATTAATTAAAAATTTATATATACAGATTTTAAGAATACAATGCAAAAAAGTTAAACTGACAAGCACCAAGGTTCGAAGAATGAAGGTTGCATTGGAGGATCAAGGGGCGCTTCTTCCTGCACCCCATATTCTTCCCCTACACCCCAAACTTTCCTCTATTCCAAATATTACCCCTATCAACTTTTAGACTTTGATTTTCATTAGGGTTTATAACCTGCACTTCCTTTATCTCATTTGTGTCTCATATTTGCACCTCCTTCTTCCTCTTATCATTTTCTTTCATCTAAGATCAACAACAAAATTTAGAATCGAATTTCAAAATTTAAGAAAATTCAGAAAAAGATTTGTAAATCCAGATTTCAAAAATTTAGACACAAATTTAAAATTTTGAAAAATTACAAAATTATATGTATATTTAACTTAAGAAAAATTTTAGAATAAAAAATTAATTCGTATTTCTTTTATTAAAAAAATTAATCATACACAATTTTCATTGTATTCAATAATATATATATATATATATATATTAGGACATGTTGGAGCTAAAATTTAAATCTGATTTTTGATGAATAATATGTTTAAAGATCAATATAAAGTTGTGAATCCAAAAATTAGACCTATGTTCGTTCCGTGAATAAATGACATTTAATTAAAAATATTATAATTTAGGAGATATATCATGTTTTGTTATTATATTTATATTTTGTTATTATTTTTTATTCTCTGTAACTAAAATTTTCTATTATTCAAAAATAAATGATTTATACCTATTTTATTTATAAATAAAAGAACGCTGTCATAAAACTAAATTGTTTTTGCCTAAATAATCATTAATTTTGAGTGAGAGAAAATTTAATATATTTTTGTTGTTCAATTTAAGCCACCTTTTACCGGATCAATAAGCTATGTTATGCTTTGGTAGGACACCTTAAAATGCAATTGGTCCAAATAATATTCACTTGCTTCTTCTTTTTTTTTTTACTATTTTTATTTTTTTAATCGTTGCAATATAAACTTATGTGTACCTAAATTAGTACACGTCTCTTTTTCTCTGAAATAATCTATTGTTTGAGGAGACTTCCAGTTTATTCATTTCTTTAAAACTAATGATATATAATACATCTCCTCTTTCCTAACCAATTATATTATTATATTGCATTTTGGCTATATAAAATTAAATTGAGGTACGACTATTATTGCTGGGTCATACATACAATATATATATATATATATATCTACTGTCAGTTTTTTTTATAAAAACTTTTAGAAATCAAATGTGCTATTAATTATACATGTAAAATTCTAATTTTAAAAGGTGGGTTTTGTTAATGTTTCTTTTGGAAAAGAAAGCTTGTGGTAAAATAAATTATACAAACAAGATAATTATAACATTTAATATGATCTATCAATAAGATATAATAATTTTCTTTATCTAAGCATATTTATAAAAATAAAGCTACCTTTAATGGACAAAAGGATATTTTTTATGCACATAATTATCCTTTCTGCTTAATCATGCATTTGGTTTTCGTCGTAAACTTTTGTTCAATTGGAATAACTTCAAAACAAATTTAAAATTGGTAAAATTTTATAATTTTGTTGACAAGTTTAAACTTATAATAATAAGGTGAGTTGAAAAAAGTCTAAGCGATGATGTTTTAATAATATTTCTATTTTACTTGCGCAAAAACAAAACTCAAAAGTGGATATAATCACATTTCCAAATTCATCTTAATCCTAATTTTTAAATTAAAATATGCTTTTTAATTAATGTTTCGACAGGATTTAGAACCCTAATCCAAAACATTCAAAGTTGTCTACTCCGATGTGCAATTGTACTGTCTTCTCTCTTCTCTTTGTCTGAGCCGCGGGGGAGGAGTGACTTTGCGTAATAATCTTGTAATCAAGATTTAGGTATGATAGCTCTAAGTTTCAGTTCAAGTTCAAGTTACCTGTCCTTTTGACAGACAAATATTTATAAATTATAATGAGCATACCGTTAGGTCTGACTCATTAACCAACAATGAATGATAATACTACTTGTCAATAAATGACAATTATTTTCATTGATTCTCCGATATTATTACTATTGATTACCTTAACAGCTCTTTTTCCCGATCGGTTAGAGGTACCATCGGTAGGCCGACTCTCTTATACATTTTTACCGTTTGATCCGCTATAAGCCCATAGTAACAATTAAAATAAAGTCGAACTAAAATTAATACTCACAAATTTATAAGTTTAATTTTGTCTATAATGTAACATTTATTCAGCACAAAAAAAAATCTAGCAAAAGAATTCAAATTCTGAATTTCGATTCACACGAACAAAAGGAAATATACAGGAACAAAATTAAACTCCAAATTTACTTTCATTTTGTACGAAGCTTGTTCATCTTCTACGTATTGGTTCTATAACACTCCATAACAGTTCCTTATAGTTCTTAAAATCTCTCCCCAACCCCACCCTTCAATATATATATAATCTATAGTAATGTCACCGACATACTTTACATTATATTACTTTAATAACATGACATAATCCTAACTAATTCTGCACTTTAATCTAATTCCACCACCACACTAACAATTACGACTGTTTCCTTCTTCTTTTCTCTCAGAGGGGGACAAAAGACGTGGCTACATAGGATCGTCTTCGCGTATAATAATAATAATGTGAAACGTGTCATTAACAGTAGTAAAAGAGAGAAAGAAAAAAACATAGAATGGGACAATAACAGTATCCCTATACCACCAAAGGGTGATAGATAGGTGAAACGCAAAAACAAAACAACATAACTGATGTTTAACATTAGTTTTTGTTTCAGTGATTTTTACTGTCGCTTGTGATCTGGTTCTCCCCAGATACATACAAGAGAAAAATGAGATTATAAATATAAATATCAGGCATGGGATGAAAAAAAGTGCCAGGCTGTGTGGTGAGCTTCCTCCATCCTTCGGGAGCTGCAAAGAAATTAAGTATAAAAATGTAATGTTGGAAATCTAGAAATAAAGTAAATTTAGAATATACATGTTTAACTCAACTATACAAAATCATATCATTAGAAAATAGATTTTGATCCTTAATTCAACTTTATAAAATTAACAAGGTGAAATTTTTGTAATCGTCGACGTGAGACTTCCAACGTAAAATTTAAAATCTACTTTGTTAACCATACTTAAGGATGTTTATGTTTGTATTGAGGATAGATAAGCTTGTATGTTTGATGATGGGGTTTTGAAAGCAGAGCCATTCGTGTGGGTCTCTGGAGGGTCCTTGCTTACGTACATAACACCCCCACGTTTTCTTTTCTCTTCCCAATTAATTTCCTTCTACTAAAACCCCTCCTTACTCTCAAACTCTCTTCATCTCCTTTTCTCACTCTTTCATCACACTGTGTCACTGTCATAGGGACATTGTTACACATCAAGCAAAGAACAACAACAACAACGAACGAACAAGGTTCTATTCCTTAAACAATGGTCGACCCGGCACCATCCTCAGAATCAGAGACCAGAAACGCCGTCAGTTCTGCTTCTTCGCCGTCATCGTCGTCGTCGAGTTCTAAGAAACGAGGAAGAACCAACGACGGCAATGGTAGTAGTAGTAACGACAGCAAGCATTCGGTGTACAGAGGAGTCAGAATGCGGACGTGGGGGAAATGGGTGTCGGAAATCCGCGAGCCGCGAAAAAAGAACCGAATCTGGCTCGGCACCTTCGCCACCGCCGAGATGGCGGCGCGTGCGCACGACGTGGCGGCGCTTACCATAAAGGGCTCCTCGGCCATCCTTAACTTCCCCGAACTCGCCGCCTCGCTGCCGCGCCCCGCCTCCAACTCCCCCCGCGACGTGCAGGCTGCGGCGGCCAAGGCCGCCTCCATGGAGGCGCCGCCTCCTCGGACCCCTCCCTCCCCCGCCGCAGCGCCGGAGGACGACCTCGGCGAGATTGTGGAGCTGCCGCCTCTGGGGTCCATCTTCGACTCGCCCGACCCGAATACGGAGTTCGTGTTCGTCGACCCGGATGAAGGGTGGCCCTATCCTCAACCGTGGTGTCACGGCATTTATGACGGTGGGTACTTCATCGGCGACACGAACATGGTTTCAATGCAAGAGTCAGAAAGCATGGTTCTTTCCTTATGGCCTTGAACTCCGGCAAACAAATTATTACACTAATGCTACCCATTGAAGTATGGTTTTTTTTTTCTTCATATTTTTGTGTGTGGTATTTAGTTCATGATCGTGTTTTCTTAAGTATTTGGTAAAAAAATTCGATTTTTCAGGCTCATGTATATTGAATAGAAAAATAATATCTATATTGACCTGCCAAAATCGATACAATATATCGAGAAATTATACCATAATTCTCGATTAGGAACTTTAGGTTCAACAGTTTTCATTATTTTTGTATTTTTTTTTCCTTTTCTTGAATTGCATAGTACTTATATGGGCCCTTCGGCAAATTTTTCCTTTCAAGGGTCATAATATATGAATTTTTTTTTGTTTCTTGCCTGTAATTACTTTGTTTATTCTTTCTTCTTCTTCTCCTTCTTTTGGTTTGTTATTGAGCTTCTTCATACACGATACAATGGTGGTAGATGATTGGTGTTGTGGTTTTTCATTACGATGATGATGATAATGACGATGGAAATGCAGCGAAAGATACGTGTAGAAAGTTGTTCTAAGTTTACATTATATAGTTCTGCTTTTAGAGGACAAGAATAAAGGTTAAAGGGAGATTCTCCATTGGATTTTTATTTCTATTTTTTTACAGCTCATTCTTCCTCTTTTCATTGTTTTTTGGTTTCTCTGTTTCCAGAAAATGACCCTCTTGACGGTAACAAAATTACAAGTCTACATCGTATGTGTGATCGAATAAAACAACCATAATAATGATTAATGTACTGCATGCACCCTTCATTTTTTATTTAATATGTTTTCAAAGTATGAAGCTTCGAACACAAATTCAACTCATGGAGTCATGCTACATAAACATACAGCTAGCAATGAAGCGATGCGGTTCGACACACGCAACCTTAAAATTCATGTTTTTTTCTCAATTATTCTCTTTTTTTTTTACAAAAAGAAAAAAAGAAAGTGAATTTTCCTATTTTTTTTACTTTTTATTCTGTCCCATGTTAGGATATTTTGTGTTATTTAATGTGATGTGATGAATTGGAAGAAAGATTTATTTATACATTATAAATATGTTGATAGCAGGTAGCAGGAATTTAATCAATACTTAATGGTATCACTGTTTGACTAAAAGTATTATTGCATTATTATATGGAACTGTTTGAACTAACGTATATTCCATTTTAATTGCTACTTTAGCCTTAACATTGTGGTCGCTAGTTACTTCTAGATGCAATAATTTAGAGGCATGATACATGTGATTTTCTGATTATATAATAATAATAAGTGTTATTTGTTTAATATTTTGTCATAAATAAAAGAAATGATGGAAGAAATCTAAAGAAAAAAAAAAAGTAAAAACAGTACTTTTTCCCCTTTTCTACATCATTTATATATGCACCTGACTTTAGTGGCGTTGTGGGGTTGTAATAGCTCTTTCTAGTGACAGTTTATTTTGATGGCATTGTTGTGACGCGTGTGGCTGTATGCTTATGATTTCTACACTTTACAATATGGTCAAACACACACAAATTCAAGCTTGAATCATAAAGTAACACTACATTCACACACACACACACACACATATATATATATATATATATATATATATATTGTTTCGGAGGTTGAGTCACTGAATATCTTCATAATTTGTCATTTCTCGTCATCCGGTTTCGCTTCCAGCGTCTCTTGTTTGCTTGTCCGTCCGGGGTCTATCTGGTAAAGATATTCCAATGTCAAAATCAGTAGTTGAACAGTTCGGTAATCCAATATATAGTAATTGTCTTTGAATACATTTTATTTTTGACTTATATTTATAGTTTTTTAAAGTGAGTCTAGGATTAGCGATATTTTAATCTCGGCTCAATCTCGATCTAATACTCTTAAACACGATTTAGCGTAATCTCCTTAAAATTAATCATTTACGTTTGTGAGACCGGCCGTCCCTGCCAGCACCTTTGTGTGCTTTGATGACTATCCGATCATATGAAATTTGTGGACTGTGATGACCATCTAGTCATATGGTATATATATATATATATATATTTCACATTAATTTATACATTTCAAATATAAAATTAGATATTAATAAATAATATGATAAGATAGAATTTAACGTATAATTCTATAATATCATATTAAAAAATTAATTTTAAATTTAATTTAAAAATTTATATTTAATCATATTTTTTAAATTTTATTTTATTTTTAAATAAAATATTAATTATATATATATATATATATATATATATATATATATATATATATATATATATTTCACATTAATTTATACATTTCAAATATAAAATTAGATATTAATAAATAATATGATAAGATAGAATTTAACGTATAATTCTATAATATCATATTAAAAAATTAATTTTAAATTTAATTTAAAAATTTATATTTAATCATATTTTTTAAATTTTATTTTATTTTTAAATAAAATATTAATTATATATATATATATATATATATATATATATATTATATGGTGGTGGTGGATAACAACCTTTTATTTATTTTTTCTTTGCCATCGTTGCATGTATGGTTCTCAATGAGCCAGAGAAATGTCTGCTCAAGTGTCAGTGTGACTGATGTTTCTTGTAAAGTCATACAAATGAGAAGAATAATTCTTTAACATGATATATTTTCTATTATTGTTGGAGTTTGTTAACAACTATAACGTTAAATATCAGTAAAACTTGTTAAAATTAAAGTGATTATTGCATTTTTTTTAATGAGGCCATATATTTAAGTTACTAAAATAATTATTAAATAATTACAAAATTTAGAAACAAATAACTATTTATTATATTAATTACATTGAAAATTATTAATACTTCAAATAATTTTTACTGTTAGTAAAAAAATATAATTAATTTGTAAATTAAAAAATAAATTAATCTCTAATATGAAAATTTTCGTTACTAATTTTAAGTTATTTTTTATTTTTAAATTAGAAATTAATTTAAAGAAATAATAACAATAAATAACTAATTAATATTATAAATTAATGTAAACTTTAATTCACAAATCAATTATAATTTTTTATTAATAATAAAAAATTATTTTAGATACTAATAGTTTTTTAACTTATAAAATAGTGTGCAACTTAATTAATATAATGATGAATTATTATTTTTCTAAATTTTATTGTTATTTAATAATTTTTTTGTAATAAATATTTTATTTTACAAGAAAAAAAAAAGTCCTATGAAAATTCATAAGGATCAAGATGATCATATAATCATCAAAGGTAATTTTCGTGTCGAAAAATCTAGATTGAAAATGTCTCTGGTAATTTAAATCGAGGTGTTATGTACTGATTTCTTTAATAAGAAGAGTTTTAGCAATTCATTCTCTAACATCTTCTTTTTCTTTTCTTAAAACGTATAGAAAATATTGTGAGTGAAATTTATGAAATAAATAAAAATATCTTTTTTTCAACAAATTTTAGTCAATAGAGTATAATGTTTTAAATTTTTTTTATCACATTTTTTCAAAAAATCTCACGTAACAAGACTAATTTATATTATATAAATATGCTATAAATAAATTTTATAAGATTGAATTAAATTTAAAATTTTAAGATGATATTAAAATTAGTTAAAACTTGTTAATTTAATAAAAAAATTATTTATAGATTGATTTTATAAGATTAAGTTGATTTTAATGTTTATTTTATAAAATCATTGTTATCAATATTTTTTATTTTCTTTTTATAATGATAGTCTTCTTCCTTTTTTACTATCAACGTCTTTTTCTTCTCTTCAATGTATTTGTTGGAACAAAAATCTATACACATATTAATTATGCAAGTACACAGAAAATTTTATGATCTCTGGTTGAAACTGAGAAATTAGGTTTGGTTATCTAAGGCATATAGCAAACAGTAAACATCATATATTTGTAGTGTAGATCCCCAATGAACACCGTAATGCACTTTAGGTCGTGAATTTAAATTTCGATAGTTATTGTTATAGGATATGAGTTTATGGTTAGGAATTATAAGTATTCCAACCTAAATCACAGAAGACCACTGCACAAATGCAAGTACATTTGATTCCATAATATAAATCTTATTCTTCCGATTCCAAATATGTAGATTAACATCGATAAAATCAATTATCAAGTATTGTTTACTTAAAAAAAAATAGAATTTTATCACGGTTTTGTCTTCTTTTAAAATATTGAAAGAGAAAAAAAATATTTAAATTGTCTTAGACTATGATTTTAAAATGTAAAACTATTAGATATAATAAAAAGGTTTAATACATTGATCCCTACTTTTTGGGGTTTGGTTCAAACTGATCTTACCTTTTGAAAAAGTTCAATAAGATCCCATATTTCGTTTAAAAATGTTCAATAAGGTCATTTTCACTGAGACCGTTAAAAACATAACGGTGCAGATGCCACTGTGACCAAACCTGAGTGAGCTGTTTTGTTTGATGATTACGTGGCAATGAGCTGGTGGAAATATTTTAAAAACAATTAAATATAAGGTATGTGGTAGGTTTAAGTCTGGGTTAAAGAAAATTACCTTTGTTTAAGACTGATTTCGCCATTTTTGGGTTCAATATTGTGTTGCAAGTGGTGTTGTAATGATGATTGGTTGCTGATTCCTTGAAAGTAGCGTACGTAAGTGAGGTAAGTGATCCTAACCTGAATGGAGTTAGGCGCTGGCAGAGTTAATAAGAAACTCTAAGGTGATGGAGAAAGCAAGAGAGGAGATAGATTCAGTGAGAGGAAATAAGAGTAGAGTGATTGCATAATCAAATATCGTTAACCTTTCCTACATGCGAAGCATAGTGAAAGAAACCCTAAGGCTTCATCCGACAATGCCGATGATTGAAAGAGAGTCATCAGAGAAGATGAAGGTTTGTGGGTATGAGATTGGAGAAAAGACGTGGTTGCTTGTGAACTTGTGGTCGATGGGAAGGGACCCTAAGGTTTGGGAAGAGCCTCTTGAGTTCAGGCCAGAGAGGTTTATGGGGGAGGAGAAGGAGTTTGATTTAAGAGAACAGAACTTTGAACTGATGTCGTTTGGGACAGGGAGAAGGGTGTGTCCCGGTGCTTCACTTGCACTTCAGGTTGTGACCTCCAACCTTGCTGCTATGGTTCAATGCTTTGATTGGAACAAGGTAATTTTTTTTAACCCAAACTTAAACCTATCACCTACCTTACATCATTTAATTTTTTTTTAAATATTTTTATGAGCTCACTTTACTTCAATTTGCCACGTAATCATCAAACAAAACAGCTCACTCAAGTTTGGCAACGGTGACATCTGCACCGTTATGTTTTTAACAGCGTCTGTGAAAAGGAC